TTATTTCGTCGCCGTCTTAAGGTTTCAAGGTAGATTTGATGTTTATTGAGTATGCGACTGTTCTGATTTATTTAACTAAATAATTTGCATCACTTTAGGGAAAAACATCTTCGCTGTTCATATAATATTTATTTAAGATAAAGATAGTCAGCAGTCGGTCTAGCTACCGAGTCTCAGTCTAGTACTAGTAGTCTTGGTGATGCATTTTGTGTGTTATTTTAAAACCCCGCCCCGGCTGTCATCGGGGGACCTAATATAAACTAACAGTTGAACGGGGTTTCAGGGGATTGATTCTCATTCGAATGATGGCACTTTTTGTCACCGGGTGGTGTTGAACGTAACCCAATGTCCAGTTTCTGACCTGAAGGACCAGCCTATTCAGTGATGACCGAGTCACATACATTCAGTCATTCATAGCACTGAATACTGAAATATGAAAATGAATCTGACCTAACCATAGGCTCATAGGGTGTCTCAGTATTAGAACTAACAATTGGTGTTTGGGGACTGCTGCTGTTAGATTCGTTTCTGAAAAGACAAAATGGTTCCTTTTTAAATCACTACTGTGTCAGTCAGTCTATCATAATCATGCAGCATCCCAGATTGAGGTGGACAGTTAACAAAAAGATTTTTACAGCAAAGCCCCATTATCAATCATGAACTTGCCTGAAAAGAACACCCGGTTAATTTGAGCAAAACCTTTGATCCCAGCAGGGATGTATTATTATTATTAGTCCCTGGCAAGCAGAGTCTTGTTTTTTTTTTAAATACACTGATCAACATAATCATGTGCCCTGCCAACTGGCATAGGCGCTCATGCGTCTCCACAGATCATGATCCCTGGTTGCCTGGAACAGCTCTCTTGATGATGTCCTTCCATTCCATAGTTTCAGCCCATCCAGCATTGTCTTTCTTTGTCTGCCTCTACCCCTTTTTCCACTGATCTTTCCAGTTGTTACTATGTTCTCTAATGTCTCTCTTCTCATTATGCGGCCAAAGAACAGTCTTTATCTCTTTCTTACTTCTCTATGTATATTGAGATCTACTTTCATTAGTTTCTTTCAAGCAATCGTTGTCAGTTACTCTAAAAACGCTGATACAGTCCATTTTTTCTCTCTTGGAATTCGTGTTAGTGGGGTTTTATACTGTGCTGTAATAAATAATTACTAAATGAATACATTTTATTTAACGAATAGGTTACTTCTCATATAATCCTAATTCTGTTATATTATTTTTTTTTCAGGTTGCACAAGTTTTAAACATCATTACACCAAGCTTTTGCTGTCTCCAAACCAAACTACAACAGACGGCTATAGTTTAAAGATTGATATACCCATGCTGATTTCCACTTTTGGACCATCTCACCTGACTGCTGATAGTAAAATACAGATTCTATATTTTATTCATTAGTCATATCATCAGTTTGTGTACATCATGTTACTGACAGTTAGTTAGTTGCATATTCTTTACAGTACATTTTTTGACTGTTGTGGTATTTCTAGGTAAATTTATGTCCAGTAGTTTGCTATTGCTTTCTGGACGGGTGGCTTGTCGATACCACTGTTGAAACCAGCGCAAGGCCTGCAGCTGGAATTGAACCCGGGATTGCGAAGCGCATTTGCAACACCTAAGACATAGACACCTATTACTGACAGTAGAATTTTTAATATAATAATTTACTACTTACTTTTGCAGTTAAATGGCAGTCATCATCATCATCATTAACCACATCTGCCGTTAAGCGTCGTGGGGAGAAATAATTTGCGATCCAATGCATGCTGGCTGCCACTGGCTATTATCATGCCATAATGGCGTAGAGTGTCTTTAATGTTGTCGATCCATTTTTCCGCGGTCATCCTCTTGCTCTTGTAGCTGATCTTCTGAGAAGTAGTGCTTGTGATGGTATTTTCATCTTAATGCAACAAAGCCTTGCGTCTGACACCACAACATCTAGTTTGAGAATGGAGGTAGAGGCAGTAACTGCAGCCTTTCCCTGGTTTGAGAGTCAGCTGTACACAAGTCATAATTGTAACTGACTCACAGAGCATGTTTACAAAGGTGGAGACCAGTATGCTTCACGAAGAGTAGCATGCATCGCTCCAGAAGTTTCAGGTAATTAGCATTCTTTAGATATTTTCCCCAGGACATGCCGGTGTATTCGGAAATGAGCAGACAGATAGACTGGCTGGTTCTGCACAACTTGGTGGTGAATTGATGCATGACAAACTAGATGTTGTAAGGGCCCTTGGAGAGGTGAGTGAACAGTGAGGAAGTGCAGATGGATCATCATGGTCTGAAGAGAGTGGCACTGCAAGGAGTGACCAGGGGATCGGGTCGATATTATCACTCAAGGAAAAAAAGGAATGGATATACAATCATACTGCTTTTGGCACCATTGGAACACTGCACTTGCTGCTGAAGATAAGAAAGGAGCGCTTATGTGAATGTACGCATGCAAAGGCCTGTCAGCAATGAGGGTCTTGGCTGCCTCTAACACTGAACAGAGACTGCTTCTGCTTCTGTTCCAGGGACTTGTACTTTCTCCCATTGAATATGTTCTTGCCATCCTCACTGTCAGCCGTACTCAGATTGAAAGACTTGAGAAGGTGCAAAATGAAGTAGTGTGCATTATTCTAGGGTGCACTGGAGACACCTCTTGTGTAGCATTGAGGTACCTTCTTGACTTCCCTACCATGAACTACAGGATCAAGATCTGGAGGGCTCGTGCATACCTCAAAATAAGCTCAGATCTGAAGCACCCTTTGCAACACATGCTCCAAGAAAAAGGGCAATAGGCTTAAAAGGGGCAAATCATGGCTGGGTAGGGCAGAGGATGACATCATGCAGGTTTGCAGCCTTATAGACATCCATCCAGGTGAGAAGTGGATACCAGAGTCTAAAGCGCAGAATCCAGCTGCTGTCAGTACCGAGGTATGCTGGCTTATCAGTGACAAGTAAGATGAGACAGATGTGGTGATCTTCACAGACGGGTCCGTTATATGAGGACATAAGAGTGCATGGTCATTTACAGCTGGCTCTTCAGGCAGAACAGTTAGGGAAGCCAACGGTGCCTTCTCCATGACCACCAGCAGCATGACGATGGAGGTGATGGTGGTGACACAGGCTTTCATGTGGCTGGGATCACAGGACTATTCCCGCATGTGTGCTGAGTGATTCTTTGAGTATGATCCGGCAAGTCGAGGCAGGCTGGTTACGCAGACAGTGGCTTGAGTCATTGCAAAATTCTCCTGTGTGTGCAGTTACTTTCATATTCGTCCCGGGGCATGCAGGCATTGTTGGTAGTGAGAGAGCTGATAGACTGGCAGGTACTGCATTAATTAAAGATGGCCGACCCATGGATCATGCAGACATTGTCATTGCCCTTAGAGAGATAGGACGTTCTGAGGATTTTGGAAGAGATGTGTCCACATCACTTCTAAGAATACGTGAATTGGGAGTAAAGATCGGCACTGCCAAGCATGAGAAGCACACTGGACGCACACCAACATAGGACTGGTACTAATAACCGCACGGCGCTGATGAATATATTGAGAGGGGAATCTGGGCGCCTATGGATGTGTCAGGAGTGTAGCTTTTAATTTTAGCAGATATTGTAGGGCATTCTTGGTAGTTTTAAAAAGAGTAGCATCATTAGAAATGGATGTTTCATATCTAAATTAATTTTATATATCAGGTTTCTTCCTATACCAATATATTACTGGGGTCCTTTTGTGAAGCAAAGTGTGATATTATTGTAATGCTAGTGGGATAGGGAAGGCACTAACAGAATGAAAATCAGAGAGTTCAAGTATTATAAAAGCATATTTAGAATTACCACAGAGAAAAGATTAACAAATTACAAGAAATAAACCATTAAAGTGATCTAATATCTCACACCAACAAATGATTAAGATGAATCAAGGAGTAATTTTAATGAAAATTCCAAGTACTAATCAGAGGTCAGGAATTTAGTCATGCGACATGGACTTGGATTAATGACTCGCAACTCAGCTTGGGGTTTTGTCCAGCAACTGGCAACTCGACTTGTGAGTTGTAGCTACGACGACTAGGTAAGACTCTATCTTTGTTTCCGGCCACTTTGAGGTAGGTTTTGTGATCAGCATTACAGTTAAAAACATCCTCATATAAAAAAAAATAACAGCATAAATTCTGTTTTGATTTATCAAGCTTTCTTATTCTGGTTCTTCCACTTTTTTATATATATATAGTTCAGTGAGTTCTTCACACTACTATATCTATTTTTGTATTTTTGCCATTTTGTTTTATTGATCTTTATTCTCATAAATTTAAATAAATTTGCACAATTGGCAAATTACTTGCTACATGAAGTGGCTTGACTCGGGACAGCTCAGAACCATCTTGGTGACTTAAGATTCGACTTGGTGGCAGTGGCTTAGAACTCGACTTGAACTTAAAGGGTGATGACTTTGTGCAACCTCTGGTACTAATCAGTGAAATGGCAATATCAAAACTTAGATGGGTGATCTGAATGACAATATAGGATTGGAAAAGAGAATAGTTGAATTAATTTATGACTGAATGAAAAGATTTGTTCACTGTGTTAAAAACTCCTTGTGTGGGTTACATGGCCTCATTTTGGGGTTAAAAAAAATTATCGACCCACATTCCCACCCACCCCCTCCCGCCACCCTTTCCCCCCAAAGAGCTTGTGGTAAAAAGCGATGACTCATTATGAGTTGGCTAAAATCAAATATATAGGATGGAAAGGTGCAGATATTGCTGCCTGGCTGTAAGCCATAGCACAACATCCCTGCGACCCTTTTAAGGGAATGAAGAAGTGAAGTAATGACTGGTTGAATTAATTAATTAATTAATAAGGTCTTTTTAACTGTGTTGATTTAGTTTTGGAAATGTTAAATTTAAATTAAAACAATGTTGACTGTTTCAAAATTGTAGTGAACAGATTTGTAAAGTAAACAATTTTTTTTTTAACAGTGGTTGATGCACAAGTCCATGATATGAGCCTGACACCAGACAGGCAAGGTTATCTAGGACAACTGAAGGACAAAAATATTACAGAGCTCATAGAACTCTTAGAAAGACAAGAGAAGATATTATCCAAAGGGTACGGCTGCAGAAAACATTTAGTTATTCTTAATAAAATTGTCTGTTTATTTCTTTAGTATGATTGGTGGATTGATTGAGTTTGTGTATGCACATGCACACAGTAAGTAATGACTGAAATGAGATGCCTGAGAAAGGCTGCAGGAGTGACCGGAAGATATAAAATCATAAATGAGGTCATAAAAGAAAAAAAATTGGCACAGAGCCAATTCTAAATTGCTTACAAAGACAACTCAAATAGTTAGTCCACTTAGAGAGAATACCTTATGATGTTGTATCATACAAACTACAACAGCACAGTGTGTCTATGGTACAAGAAGCAGAACCTTATGTCTCCCTCGACACCCAAAGCAGTAAAAGAAGAACAAGAAGCATGCACGCAGTTAGGCAGTTATTGTTATTACCACGAGAAGTGTAAATTCATCCTTTTTGTGTATTAACATTATTAATGGGAGCTACAGTGGGACAGAAGTTAATTCTCTTGCCCCACCAAGACTGGTTCGGTTCAGTAACCAGCAGGAGGGAGGATTTTTTTTTTCATGACTAATATGTCTCTGGGGTCGACCTAGTTCCATAAAAACCGGCACCACAATATGTTATGGAAATTGATTGGGAAGAGAATCTCTTATTCATATGTCAGAGCCTAGGATATGTGATGACATTACACTACAACCCACTTGCCAATTTGTAAGCTTTGACCTAGAGATGCCATGATCTGGCATCACCATCACCCTGAGAAGCTGCTAAACCAACATTGTTGATTTGACCGGTCCCGATCTGTTTGCACCTGCATAGTGTTCAGGAGACCCATATGTGGTTATATTTACTACAAATAGCGGCTTATTGTCGAATTTCCAGGTTGCTAGTTTTTTCTTCTATGGTTTGCAGGGCAGCAGTGTTTAAAAGGAATCTTTGTGGGGTAAATGTTGTCCAGTGGGTAGATATGCCTGCCCTGATACCCACAGGAGAGTAATGGCATATTGGTCTTGGGTTTAAATTCCTTCTCCTGATTGTATCTTTTTTTTCATCACGTAGCCCCTGCATTGGCCCAGGCTTTATTTTTTTTTTAAAAAGATACCATAATCAGATGGTGGACAGCCGGTGTGATATTGTCCTTATAATCTTTTATATGTTTGATTAAGAAAAAATGGTACTTATCACGAACTCGCCGGCACGGCAAAAGTTAATTTCTCTCCCAATCATGCGCGGGTGGGGGGGGGGGGGGGGGGGGGGGGGGGAAGAGGCTGTCTTGTTTTGTGATAAGTACAATTTTATCTTAATCAAACATATAATGGATTATGAGGACAATATCACACCAGTTGTCCACCTTCTGATTATGGTATTTTTTTTTTTTTAAATAAAGCTTGGGCCAATGCAGGTGCCATGTTTTCCTTATTTTCAATGGTTTAACCATTGTCTCTTTTCTTGTGTTGTCACCGATCGCTTGCACGATAATTTCCATGTTGTGCTACTTGCCCCATGGCTTATATATATCAAAACTGGGAATATTTTTGTATTTCTACCTTTCTTAACAGTGGCTTCTTTTTCTTGGGAAGCCACCACCAAGAAAGGTAGAAATACAAAAACATTCCGGTTTCGATACAAGCAGTTGCGCCTTCCGTGCTTTACCCTGGGGTACTTCTTACTTTGTACACAGGTGCCTGTGGCGCCTCAGAGAGACTCACAACAACACAACCCCCCACAAACATTATATACGGTGATTTAATGTTGAATGAAGCCCTTTCATAACACCCGCACAACATAGGACAGGTCATGTGACCAGCTGTGGCATGGATGAGATGGGAAGGAACCCTCACCATGATGGCAAGTTTGTGAGAAGTTCAGAAAAAACAATATTAGGCCAGATGCCTAGTACATACCCTTTGTCAAATTTCTATATCAATAAAAATAAATAATGCAGAGATAAAACAGACTTGTGAATTTAAATATTTAGGGTCAATTTTCACATCAGAAAGAAGAAAATATAAAGAAGTCAGTGTATGGTGTGCAAATGCAAATTAAGAACCAGGACACTTTTTTGACACCTAAAAAGATGTCTTTTTCAACTAATGTACCTTTACTATAGCTACCTTTACTATAGCTAACGAGAGAAAAGTCATTAAAACGGAGATGAGATGTCTCAGGGAAGCGGCTGGAGTAACAAAAAGAGGTACAATTAAAGACAAAGAGATTAGAGGAGGACTGAGCCTGAAACTAGTCACATAGTATCATTACTGAGCAAAAGGTGAGATGGTTTGGTCATCTGACAAGAATGCTCCGGTGCCAAATGTCTTGTAAAGCAATGCTGACAAAATACACAGAGCACAGAGCAAGATGATAAAGCAAAAGATAAAATGAGGGTATGAATGACAACCTTAAAGAAATGAAGGTCAACTTAAACAATGCACTAGAAAGAGCACAATTGAAGATCCACCACATGTACACACACGCTCTGTCTCTGTCTGTCTCCCTCTGTCTCTCTCACAGTTCCCCCCTCCCTCACTCCCTCTCTCTCCCCCTCCATGATGAGGGAGGGAAGAGAAGAGCAGTTTTCTAAATGTGTTTAATATAATACCTTGATTTTAGAAACCATATCAGACTAATCCAACTGGCCCCACTTCTTCGTCATCCAAAGATCTCGTTACCAGCCAAACAACGGATGTCAACAATATTTTCATCCCTACGTTATGTTATCAGTGCTAAACGTGGACAATGAACAAATCACATATGCAAAAAATAACTACCTGTGAAATGTGATGTCTCCGAAGAGTCGGCAACAATACACGAAGAGACAGAGTCACAAACGTCAGCATTAGAGACAAAGTTGGAACAAGAGCATGCATGGAACATTGAAAGACAGAGAATGAAGTGGTTTGGCCATTTAGTAAGAATGCAACCGGATCAGATTGCCTTTTACAGTAGAACATCGGGAAGAAAGGCCAGAGGAAGACCCAGGAAAAATGGATAGATGGAGTAGCTGAATACGGCCAGAAGATCCAGAAAACTGTCACTCAAATCACGCGAGAGGCACAAAACAAATATTTTAAACCACGACACTGAACTGCAACCCGGTAAAAGTGAAGAAGACAATAGATAGATCAGACTAATGTCAGTCAGATGAGGGAAGGAGGACAGGAGATATCTTTCATGATATGACCATCTGGCACAAAGAAAATCGGTGTAATGTATAGATAGCTTGTTGTTTGGAAGACTTAAGTGCTTCTCATGAGTCCATTGATGATGCTAAAATCATGCAAACCCTAATAAGGGCTTGCATCCAGCTGGGGAGGCCGATTTGAAAGTTATACTTTCCTGCTGACCCAGTACCAAAGTGCCATCTCCATGGAGATTGTGTAGCAGAGCCCTCCTTGTCCTCTTCACATGCAGAAACCAGAGGGTGTGCTATACTGGCATTTGAGCTTTACTTCTACAAAGACCCTTGACAGCCCTTGGAATATTGATCAGCTTCACCATGGAGAGGTGATCCAAAGTCCTGGATAATATATGAACTGACCCTGGATGTGCTATTTTTATTGCTCATTTATTACTTTGTTTGTTCTATCTTTTCCAGATCTTTACATTTTTTAAACCCCTTTTTTTCTTCAAATTAAGCATTTTAACACTGACAGATTTTTAATTACTTAATTTTTTTTCTCTCCAGGAAATATTTAGCACGTTTGCCAGATAAAGGGGAAAAAGCAAGGGCATTTGCAATCCATTTGAAGCACCTGATAGAAGAGAAATCGGGTGGTTTACCTGCATTAACAGCAATGACTGATTGTGACATGGATCCAATTTCTGATTTACACAAGAGTTCTATTTCTGTGACAAGCAACAACCATAATTTGGGTGTTCAAGATCAGTCAGACATTTTTGCACAGATTGAAGTTAATCAACCAAGGGAGACTACAGAAAACGGCCAGACAGGCAGCTCAGAAAATAATGAGAAAAATATTGTTGACCTCGGCAGCAATTTGGCTTCAAGTTTAGAGGTCAGATTACTGTTGTAAAAATTACTTTTGTTAACTTTTACAATTCACGTTAAGAAAATAGGTCCCACATTGTGTTCTCATTGAATAATGAAAATAGACACATTAGATTTTGCAGGCTTCAGATTTGATTTGATGTATGAAATGACAGTGAATTCTGATCCAGAAAAAAATCCATTAAAATAGAGGGTGGGGATAGTGTGCATTACACAATTATTGTGGATTTTATGGTTGCCTAAGAAGAGTTGAGTTGAGTCAAGAATTGACATCACAGCTTCTTCTTCTTTTCTCTACTTCTTGAATGCCTTGCGGCATCAGGGCAGCAAGAGATCTCTGGAACGGACTCTTCTGTTCGTTTCATATAAAGAAGTTTTTAGTGTCTCTGATATTTCTGCGGTCCATCTTCTGCATGGTCGAACTCTGGATCTGTTACTGTTGTATCTGATCTGTATAACATTGCTCTCTGTGGTGCCCTGTCTGCTGCCAATCTTGTTACTTGGCCAAACCATTTGATTGGTTGTCTGCCTATACAGTTCAATATTGGTTCTGTGCCGACTCTCCTCCTGATATCATCGTTCCTAAGTCGATCTTTCCTCTTGACACCTAGCCTAGTATGTAAACATTTTTTTTTCTGTCGTGACTATTTTCTTCTGTTTTCTGAAGACAGGATCCATGTTTGACACTGATAGCATAGCATTGGTAACAATATTGTGGTAACAGTTCTTTAAGTGTTTATATTCACATGCTTGCATTTCAAAACTTGTGCCATTTGGCCTATTTAAAAAAAACTACTCTTAGAGCTGCTAATACATATAACCACAAATTACTGTGTTGCCCTTGGATTTTCTCATTAGTGTCTGTGACTTAGGGTTTTAAACACACTTCAATAATCCTGAAATTCAGGAGTTCAGTCGGCTGCAGGAGAATCAAGTGCAGGCTGCTTTGCATTGATTTTTGACAACAGTATAAGCGCAGCACCATTCAGAATGCAGGGGCAAATTACTAAATGTATAATTGTCTAGAAAAACCACAAAGCAGCCACTTAATGTGGTGATTGGCTTGCATATTCTGCAGAGGACATAGATTTAATTTTTTTTCCCCCACAGAAAATGTCTCTAGGTGGCAGCAACAAGAGTCAGCAGACAGACACAGGACATTACATCAACAGCTATGAGAGAGTCATAAAACAAGCAGAAGTCAAATCTATACATAAAAAGCCAAAGTTTTTACCAAACAGGTATGACATTTATTTTTGTATAACGTTGTTAATTCTTATTGTATTGATAAATCAGCATTTTCTTCCTCTTTAACATCATTAGTTGAGCTCATAATAAAATATGTGTCAATGCATTACTGTACAAGTTTTGTATATTTTAATTTTTTTTTAAAATGAAAAACATAAGGCACAGCTTTATTATAAACCTTTGAAAACAGTCTTACAACACATATTTGGACCGATGCAGACAGCTAGGAATGAAGAGTGAGAAGCAACAGTACAATTCATGATTTGTTAATATCACCACTAATTATCATAAGGGTTAATAGACTGTTATAACTGGAGCATATAGAGAGAATTGTAGATAATAGAGAGACTAAAATTGCACGCATAAAGGAGGTAAATGGGAGCAGACCAAGAAAATTGTGAAGAGGCAGGTCTACAAAAAATTTGAGTCAACAACTAGAAAGAGAAAACCAATCACTTCACAAAGATAAATGGAGGCAGGTGATATCTGCACCAGTGAACCTGAGTTGCTCAGAATGCTAAAGAAGAAGTAGAAGACACACAAAAAAACATGAGCGAGTACATTATTTTCAGATAATAAACAAATGGCTTTTTTTTTATGCCATTGATATGACATGTTCCTAGACATGTTCCTAGACATGTTTTTGTAGACTATTCAGCACTTGATAAGTGATGTGGTCATTATTACATTATTACCACTTATATATCCAGTCAATCTTTGCTTATATATCCAGTCAATCCTAATGTACCCAGTCAATCTTTGTTTATATACCCAGTCAATCTTTGCTTATATATCCAGTCAATCCTAATGTACCCAGTCAATCTTTGTTTATATACCCAGTCAATCTTTGCTTATATATCCAGTCAATCTTTATGTACCCAGTCAATCTTTGTGTATATACCCAGTCAATCTTTGCTTATATACCCAGTCATATTAATGTACCCAGTCAATCTTTGCTTGTATATCCAGTCAATCTTTGCTTATATATCCAGTCAATCTTTATGTACCCAGTCAATCTTTGTTTATATACCCAGTCAATCTTTGTTTAAATACCCAGTCAATCTTTGTTTATATACCCAGTCAATCTTTGCTTATATATCCTGTCAGTCTTTGCTTATATATCCAGTCAATCTTTGCTTATATACCCAGTCAATATTTATTTACCCAGTCAATCTTTGTTTAAATACCCAGTCAGTCTTTGTTTATATACCCAGTCAGTTTTTATGTACCCAGTAAATCTTTGCTTATATACCCTGTCAGTCTTTGCTTATATACCCTGTCAGTCTTTGCTTATATACCCAGTCAGTCTTTGCTTATATACCCAGTCAATCTTTGCTTATATACCCTGTCAATCTTTGCTTTTATACCCAGTCAGTCTTTGCTTATATACCCAGTCATATTTATGTCCCCTGTCAATCTTTGTTTACATACCCAGTCAATCTTTGCTTATATATCCTGTCATTCTTTGCTTATATACCCTGTCAGTCTTTGCTTAAATACCCTGTCAGTCTTTGCTTACATACCCAGTCAATCTTTGCCTGTATAGCCAGCTAATCTTTGCTTATATACCCAGTCAGTCTTTTAGTATTGAAAAAGGTTCCTCACACTCCTTCTTCATTGCTGCTGACCTGATGTCTTCGTATTAAGCCTATGGAGTTTGTTTTATATTTAATTTTGGCAGGCAGGTTTGCTTTTTCTGCACCACTTGGTGGTAAATTGATGCCTGACAAGCTAGATGTGGTCAAAGTCCTTCAAGAGCAAGTGAACCATGCAGAAGCACAAACAGATCATCAGAGTCTGAAGAAGATGGTTTGGTGGGGAGTGATATGGGAATCTAACTGACACACAACACTCTGAGGAATGTCAAGATGGACGAACAAATACACTGCTACTGGTACCATCGCAACTGGAATTCTGTTTGTGCTGCAGAAGATGAGAGAGGGAGGGCTTATGGGAATGTCCTGCATTTTGTGTTATGGATTCTTAACTAAACTCAGCTTGGAAGCTCTTAGTCTTATTCTGGCCAGCAAAAATCTTGCTCTAGATGCACTCCACCATAACCTAGCATTCATTAACTCATCCTTCTACCACAAACATAAGATATTTTTTGGGGAAAGAAAGGAGATAGGGATGTAGAGTTCCTCGCTTCTGGATTTTATAAAGGATTATCTTTATTTAGCGTTGATGAAGCATTTTGCAAATAAAGAATATTTAGTGCAGTCTAATTGTCAATTGAGATGAGAAAGAATTCTCAAGAGCTGTATAAATTATATCTAGGTATGTGGAAGTGAACCATGGACAGTTAGATGATTAGTGAAAAATCATTTGGAAGCGGCAGAGATGTGGTTTCATAAACGAATAATGAAAATAAACGGGACCAGTATCAAGAGTAGTGAAAATATTCTTAAAAGAAAATGACTGATGACGAGGAAGAGAACTGATTGCCCACATCAGAAGGAGAAAATGAACATTCTTTGGTCATGTCATAAGAAGGAGAAAACTGGAGTGCATCCTAACTGTGGGAAAGTTGGAGGGGGACAATAGGCAGAGGGAGACCTCTTGTTTTTATAAGGAAAAGGGAACTATTCTTCTTGTTTGTCTTTATCAGGACACTTCTTCATTATGACATACCACCTTCACCATACCCTCAAGACACAGCACCTAAGAAACCTGAAAGGGAAGAACCGTCTGCAGCAAACCCACCATGCTACAAATTTCAGAAGTCACAACTGATACCCATCGAGGAATCAGTGAAGTTGATTGAGCAGCAGAGAGCGTTAAATGAAGTAAGGTGGCAGCAACTCTCACTGCTGTTTTTTTTTTTATGTTTTTTTATGTTTTGGAGAGGCGTCGTCATCTGTAACTTAGTATTGTGACAATGCTTTGTAATCCAATGGCCCATTGTGTTGTGTTGCGCTTTACAGCTAGGCTGTGATGTTTGTTCTTTTTGGCTGAAGACATCCAGTTTCAGCAAAACCTAATTAATCTGTCACCTTCTTTTCATGACATACATTCTTAAAGAGCAGTGGGTCTGTTCACACACCCCCACACCCCCTTTTCCATCTCAAAATGAGGCTCTGGAACCAGCATAGGGAGGTTTAGAGTTCAGTTATCAGTAGTTGTAGAGATTATTTTTCCTAGTCTAAAATACTGGGTACTAGAGCTATTTCCATGGTAGAAAAGCCTTGAGGGAAACCTCATCTCTCCTTCTCCTCATAATGTGACCTGGAATATTGTAAGACTTATCTCCCTCATCATACCTCATGGCAGTGTCTGCCATTTCTGTGGCCCAGATGTTACAACATCGGACTCAGGTTTATATAAACCAGGTAAGAAGGCTGAGTGAGGATAATGGTTTAGAGACTGGGTAAAGAATGACAGCTATGAGACCAAGTCAGAGTAACTAGAATTACAGGTAAGAAATGGGTAATAACCAGAATGATATGTAAGAGACCAGGTGGGAATCGTAAGTAACAATGGTAGGTAAGAGACTGGTTGAGAAATGACAGGTAAGAGACCAGATTAGAATGAATAGAATTTCAGGTATTGTAGCAGGCCTCTGGGCTGCTAAAAAAGGATCAAGTTTGGAATTTTTGTTAATCAGTTGGAATTGGAATAAACCAGGTATAAATAACCTGAATGATTGGTAAGAGACCAGATAAAATGGTGAGTAACGATAATGGTTACGTTACATTACTGGGTAAAGAATTACAAGAAGGAGACCAGATAAGAAAAATATAATGACAAATAAGAAACCATTTAAGAATGACCAGGGAAAAAAAAAAACGCATAAGGAATCAGGTAAGAATGAGACAAGGCAAAATGGTTGAGAGACTGGGGAAAGAGTGGCTGTTGAGAACTAGAATTTTCAGAGGAATGCTCCAAGTATGGTACCACCCCCTCCCTTTCTGGTTGTGGAGGATTGGAGATCTAGCCTTTTTTTGGATAGTGGCAGTAAACCAGCAGGGACTGTACTTGTTGCACACATTAAAAATCCTTCTGTAATTAGCAACCAAAAAAGCAGGCCAAATAGTCTACAGCTCAGGCTAAATGTGTATGCTAAAAAAGTCACAGACGTCTCAAAGCAATAGTTATAGCACTATGATTCTGATAGTTATAGCACTATGATTCTGATAGTTATAGCACTATGATTCTGATAGTTATAGCACTATGATTCTGATAGTTAAAGCACTATGATTCTGGTATGGACATAAATGCATGCTAGGATTTTTTCTGTCACATTTTAAAATGCAGTTATTTTCCATGTGTATGAGAGGCAAGGCATGGCTGGTTGAGCAGTTAAGAACTGTCAGCTCTCATACAGTAGACTCAAGTTCAAATCCTCGGTAAGGTGATGAAATTATTTCTGTCAGAGGCAACGATAAAATCAAAACCTGTACAGTTCACGGTGACTCCGATTGCTGTGCTGTCCTCAAACTCAAGGCCCCCTGTCCTACACGGCTTTAAAAAGTGGTGCAGTGAAGACATTTTTGTTTTCATGTTTATAAAAGATTATCATTTAGTATTTTCTTCTTTCCCTCATTGCTCTATGTCAGAACTTCCCCTGCTTGTTATTTCTGATCTCAGTAAAGGTTTTTTTCTCTGCTCTGTACAGGAACTAACCACTCAGAGAGCCGCCAGAAAATTGGCTGAACAGTTGCTACCAAAGATGGACACCTATGCACCAGCGAGTACTGACATGCAGTATCCTTTGACATTTTTCAAATTTAAACATGGTCTTAATGAAATAATTCTTCTGAAGTATTTGCAGCTGGCTAATAACAGATCTTGTTGTTGGTGGCAGCCTTCCGTCTGTTCATATCTTCTTCAACTTTGTTCACTGTCTATAAGCTGTGAGGAAAAGTCTTAGTTGTTTGCCTGTTTGGACTTTGGCTTTGTGCCAGGGCCCGAGTTTTGCATGTACATCTGTTTTACCGGCTTATTTGTGTGTGGTTGGTTGTTCTTTTTCACTTGGGCAGATGCACTTCAACTTTGAAGGAAACCCCAATTAGTCAACTCCTATAACATGCTTGCTGGTGAGGCAGTGGGTGTATTTTGGTTTTCCCCACAATGGGGTCCCAGAACTTACACAGGGAATCTTTCCAGATGATAGTGTTATTCTGTAGGAAGGTAATGAGAGTCTCAGCCAACTGTGATGATGAGTGATTAGCAGGACCTGATTACATTAAGAAAAGTCTTCATAACTACAGTGTGGGATTTTCAAATCATTGTTGCCATAGTATCGAGATCATTTAAGGCCAGAGATGAAGTTCCTCTTTTTCCTAGCAGAAAGCTTCGCAGCATGGTATAGACCATTTGTTGGCCATTTAGTATGATCCATTCCTCAGCCTGTCTTGTTTATTCTAGAGGAAAGGTAACATCAGTACTTTTGGAATAAAGCATGCTGCAGAAGCTGGTGGATCAGAAGCACATTCTTTTCCACCTGTTGGAGCCTCTCTCCTAGACCAGACCAGTTTCCAGTAAAGGCTAAGGGACTAGTTTGTCCCTCCATCACATTGAGTTTTCAGGTTGCATTTTCTGTCTCTAGGGAAGACACTAGTCTTTCCTCAATGTTTCCCGCTACTTCACCTAAAGCCATAGGCAGAATGTGGGTTGTTAGGTTTGGTATGTTACCTTTTAGTTGTATGGTTTTAGTTTTTGACATTAATAAAAACTTACCAGAATGATAGATGACATAGAGAGAAGTCCACATGAATTGTATGTTTAGTGTGCAGACTTTGGAAGAGCGTTATATTTAAAATTCATTTTTCATTGTTGAATTTGTTTTTGTATTTTAAGTGTCATGAAGAAATCTCAGTACAGATGAGAGGTAGAACAAGTCTGCTTTAGAGCCATGAACGACAAAATGAATATTGCAGCCAGAAAACCCTTCATCAGCATACAGTACATATAGACAATGATACAGTTACATATAACAACAGTATTTTAGCAGGTGGTGGCAGCGGTGGTTGTTCTGCAGCAATGAACAAGAAAATGAACATTGCAGCTGGGAAGCTTTCATTGGCATACTTACTATACACACAGACAGTAGTGTTCAGCTAAGAACTGGCATCACAGCACCCGGGACATTCCCGTAAGTGCTCTATCCTTGTCTTCAGCAGCCAATGTAGAGTTATTATTCTGATGGAGCAGTAGCATGTGTTTATATTCTATGTGTTTATTCTGTGTCTTGCTTTTCTCTGAGTGTCGACTGTATCTCCTGGTCACTCCCAGCTGTGCCATTATCTCCAGACCACAGTTGTCAGTTCCTGCATCTGCATTGTCCTTCTTGCTCCCAATACACTGACAATAATACATTTATAAACAAGAATCCAACCATATTTTAACAGTGTTTATTGCACTTCTTGCACATGTTCAGTTTTCTGTACAATGCTTCCTTAACTTTTCCTAGATACAGAGAAACAGCTGACACAGATCAAGACAGTGATGACACAGATGATCATGATAATAATGATGATAACGATGATAATGAAGATAATGACACTGATGTGGATTAGAACAGGCCTTGAAAGGAAACAATTGTTTGCATGTTGTTTTAACATAAATTATGGATGCTATAAATTTTATACTGAATAAATTGGTCTTTTATTTACTGAGTTTGGTTTCCATTTTTGAAATCGCAGCATGAGAGGTGATTCTACTTAAAGATAAGTTAATTCTCAAATACCACTGCTGGTTAATGCTCTTTGAGGATCACTATTCTCTTTTTTCATGTTTCCCTGATAAAGAAATGAGCTCCAAGTTTATTCAGTGGCCAATAACGTGATAAAAAATAATTTATCACAAAGAAGCTGTGTAATATATAGTTTTTGTTTTTGTTTTTTTAAACTCTCAAGTCTGATAAATTGACATTTAGGGAATGAGCCCCGAACAAAATGCACCAAAGACTTTAAGCGTGAGGATTTCTTCCTGACTCCGATGCAAATTCTGGGAATATCAATCAGAGGAGCACGACATGAATACCACCACACCAGATCATAATCTTCCTCAATGCCTTGCTGACTGTCATAGGCCATCATGTATCGTTTTATATGCTGACACCCCTAGATGCCATAACATGCATTTACCATCCATGCTTTTATATATTTTACTTAATATTCATGCATACTGTTATATGATTATAACATGCTTTAAAGATAAAATACAATTATTTTGTGAAAAATGAGCGTTTGGAAGGATTGAATGCAAGATCTGTCTAGGCGCCCAGTTTGTGACTGTTTGAAAATAAAGATTGTTTGTTGGTTCATTAAACAAAGGGCTGTCAAGAGTCTTCTCGTATTGTCTTCCTCTGTCTCTTTTTGCCCCTATCTTTCCAGTCAGCCAATACATAAGAGGAGTTGTCAGCATTAAAAAGGCTGAGGAGAAGATCCAAGTACTTAATGGGTAGGCACAATGTGCAGTGGGAGCCACTGTGGTGGAGTGGCAAGTCACTCTCATGCGGATCAGATGGTCATGGGTTCAGGTTCTGACAGCCAGACTTTTTCAAAAATGACCTTGGCTCCCAGGTCGACCCAGCTTGATATGGGTACAAGGTAAGTCCTGGGAAGCAAAGGTGGTCGGCGAGAATGATTCTATAATGAACAATACACATTTCATTGTGGTTGCTATAGACTACTGAGCCCGGCTCTCTAGCGTAGTTGGCTAAACCGGATTGCGTGGTGACCGGGTGATGAACTCCTTGTGGTTCGGGTTCACTCCCAGGGGTCGGCAGAAAAGCCACATTTCTCCCAGATTTACAGTATTTATTATGGAATCAAGGCCGAAAGGTTGCGATATCCATAATACCAAGCCTAAGGGTTAACAACTCATGGCTTCTGGATACTAAAACAAACATAGACTACTGAAGACTACTGACAAAATACCAACTTCAGTGGAATTGTGTTGCAGTGCTCTTCTTCCCCTCTCCAGGATCAGAAACTAATGAGTTGTTTAAAACCATTATTGGAACTTCACATCTGCAGAGAAGCAGGGTGATAACCCTGGCCAGACTGGGCAGCATTGCTGTCAATGGGGCAGCACTCCTAAGTCATGACCCGTAAAACATGTGGTCCTGGCCCCATGATCCAATCTAGAATCTTTTGCATGGAAAGGAGGTTTCAAGTTTTTGTAGATGTCAACTTTACAAAGGTGGCACTGCAAATAAATCACTATTTTTTTTTGGGGGGGGGGGGGGGGGGGGTCCCAAGGTGCCTGAGCTCCCATGTTCTATTGCCACTGCCTGGTTAAGCAGTTTGATATGAGGATTTACATAAGAGTGTAGAACACCATTAAACCTGTCCCCCCCTGAAAATGTCGATTTTCTCACTTTGACTGGTTTTGATGACATGATGTCTTTGGGCTCTGGTCAGTATTCCTATATAAAAGCTTTGGTACTGGCTGCAACTGCATAGTGTATAGACATGGTGAAAGAAGATTTCTGTAAAAAAAATGTGTGATATCAAAGTAATCTTATGTCACTTTGCTGCACATGGCTGTGTGAACAAAAACACTGTTTTGAATGACCAAAGGGAAGGAAAGCAGATAATTCTTTTCTCCATCTGTACTTTGTGATTTCCTTCATGAAAAAAGTACCTTTCCTTCATATAGTGTTTGACATAAAATACAAATTGACTTTACGGCTGCGATGAAGCTGTGGACATCACACTTGCCTGTCTAATCAAGAGTCTGTGGGTTCTACACCCCCCCCCCCCCCAACCCCCTTCTCCCCCTCCCAGCCCGCAGTTTAAAAGAAAAAAAACTTAAAATGTATTTTGCCGCTTCTTTTCCTCTAGTTTCTTGTGGTCGATTTTCAGAGAATTATAAGTTACATTTTTATCGAAATTTGGAAGAAGATCATACATTAAAGATTCTTGTGGGGTGAAAGCATTAACTTCAGCAGAGATATCCAAAAAACCTAATTGTTAATGGATATTAAAAGCTGATATCTCGGTAGGAAAGACCAACTGGTGACTCTACATTTCCCTCAGAGTATGTGACTTGACACAGTACCAACTGTATGTGCATCTCAGCTGTGTTTAATGTACCCTCATCTTATTGTTGTCAGTTAAATCCACAAATACTGGATCTCTTCTTTTTTTTTTCTTCTTTGCGTTTACCAGCTGTAAACTCTGGCAGAAAGTTCTGGTTGTTCATCCACTTCTGGACTTTAGTCTTGTTCCAGAACCTGGGTTATGCTTGCACATCCGTTTTACAGATCAGTTGGTTTCTTACCTCTCAGGCAGATGCACTCCGACCATGAAGGAAACATCCCTGATTAGGTTCCTCTTAAGAGATGCTTGCTTATTAGGGTGCTGTGGGTCTGACCCCACTCCTCCCACCCCACCCCGCTTACAACTGGGCCCTGGGACCCACATGGAATTCTCTGTGGGACATTAAAATAACGCAACAGGCTGATGATGAAAAAGGACTATGGGAAAACATAGGACAAGAAAGCATAGCCAAACATAAAATTTGACCACAAATTATATAAATAACCACCTGCCAGAATAGCAATTAAATAATAAATATATAACACAATATATATTTTCAAAGTTTTATTTACATTAATAGTACAATTAACAACCATCCCATTTTTGTTTGTAAGAGTACAACATAACAATAATGTATATAATAAAGGACGTATCTGGCTAAATAGAAAACAAGATTTTACCAAACTAATTTTTAAAAAATTTTTTAGACGGCAC